TAATTGCCGTCGAGTCGTTTCCAACCTATAGCAACCCTGTGTAGGGTTTCCAAAGAGCAGCTGGTGAGCTTGAACCGCCGACCTTACAGTTCAAACTGACTGTGCAGTCTGGCACATTAACCCATCGCGCCACACCAGGACTCCAATGATTGGATGTTGTTGTTGTTAAGTGCCGTCGAGTCGGTTCCGACCCATAGTGACCCTGTACAGGGTTTCTGAGGCTGTAAATCTTTACGGAAGCAGATAGCCTCATCTTTCTCCGGCGGAACCGCTGGTAGTTTCAAACTGCGGACTTTGTGGTTCGCAGCCCCATTCGTAACCACTACGCTACCAGAGCTCCTTATGCAAATAAGGTGCCTATGTAGCACCAATGGAATTAGACAGCCTGCTAATAATGCAAGTAAGATAAATAGGATCCTAACAAGGGGGACTGAGCTGTTTTGCCATCCCACGTGGCTTAAAGAGAGTACTAATCCCAGAGCAGAATCAGAACTTCACTATCACCAAGAAAGAAAAACCAGGTGATCAGTGTGTCTTTTGGACCCAGGGTATCTGTGCTGAGAACCTACTCAACCTAGTAGACAGAAAGGTGTAACTCCAGAGACAGCATGAGATATTAAGAGGCAGTGGCAGAGAAATTGCAGCGGCAGAACTAAGAGACCAGCACAATGCAGCATGGTGGGCTTCCTGGTTACAATGGGTATGGTGACTCACAACTCACAAAGTATGAGAGAGCAGAGAGCCTGCAGGTAGGAAGCTTGCTGGAGGAGCAGGGTGCCTGTGGGCCCTTGTTCCTCAGAGCTAAAGAGCTTTTTAATCCTTGCCTAATCAGGCCTAGCTGGGGGCTGACAAAGGAGGCTTGTCTGATGGGGCCATGAGGAGACAGAGAGAGCTCCTGCAAGGAAGAAGGAAGACTTTGCTTACATGTTTCCTTATCCCAAGTTGTAGCCTTTGATCCTGGTTCTGAGATATACCCTGTTACTTTCTTAATAAATGCCATAAATGTTAGTTCCCTGTATTATCCAACCCAACAGAGAAATAGAGAATGTTGTGGAAGGGATGACTGGTGTAATCATTGGTTAAAAGGTTGCAGTGTGGAGCCATGCCTGACCTCTGCCCCAAAGGAATCAGCCGTAGGCTGTTGTTGTTGATAAAAGATTCCCTTGCCTTGAGAAGCTAGAAGAAGAGGTCAGATACTCCCACACCACTTTTACGAGCACCAAAACAAGGTAGTCAAAAAAAATTAAAATTCAAAAAACATTGAAATATTTAAAAAGAGCTTAACATGACTTGATACAGCATTTAGTTAAATTAAAGATCTTTAAGGTTGACACAACCCACACTCCTTATTTTACAGGTGAAAAAACTAAAACCCAGCAGGAAGTTGAGTGACTTGCCCAACAGGAGACATCTAATTAGATGCATTTATGGTCTTAGAGACATGAAATTATACATTATCACCTGAGATGGTCCTTTTCAGAGTTGAGAATAGCCCCACAAAGCCTTTTCCCAAAGCCTGTCCATCTAGCTACAGTGGCACATCTAGAGTCATTTTTTTAAATCAAAATATTATCTCAGAAATTCTATGTTTAAGTGTGGCCTATAGGATAAGCACTGAACTGCTAACTGCAGGGCCAGCGGTTCAAACCCACCAGCTGCTCCTCAGAAACCCTACACAGGGTAGCTATGATTCAGAATCAACTCAACTATACTTAACATCATCGTTGGGGAAGTGGGTGAAAGAAGGAAAGGGTAACAGTATTGACTATAACTGAATACGAAATCAGAAGATACAAAATGCTATGTGGTCAAAACAACTTTTCAAATCATCCACACAATTAAGTCAGTTATGTTGTTAAGTACCATGTAGTCAGTTCCGACTCACAGTGACCCTGCACAGGGTTTCTGAGGCTGTAAATCTTTACAGGAGCAGAATGCCTCATCAGTCTCCCACGGAACCGCTGGTAGCTTCGAACTGCTGACCTTAAGGTTGGCAGCCCAACTCGTAACCACTATGCTACCAGGGCTCCTTAGTACCTCTACACTGACTCAAGTCTCCAACCTTTAAGTTAGCAGCCAAGAGTATTAACAGTTTGTACTACTCAGGGAGGCCTTGTACTAAGTAAAACCATACTACATTATAAAGACTATAGAGTCCAATATATGTGGTGGTTTTACTTACTACAAGGCCTCCCTGAGTCGTACAAACTGTTAATGCTCTTGGCTGCTAACTTAAAGGTTGGAGATTTGAGTCAGTGCAGAGGTACTCTGGAAGAAATGTCTGATGATCTCCTGAAAATTCAGTCCCCGAAACCCCTGTGGGAGCATAATCCTACTCTATACACATGGGGTTACCAAGAGTTGGAGTTAACGCCACAGCACCTGACGGGGTTATTACTCACTGGGAGCAGACCTGTCTCTTTTAATGAGGTTTTCCTTCAGCAATAAACAGGCCAGTTTCTTTTATCAGACGAAGATGTATGGAATTTAAAGGGTAAATTATTCCCAAAACACATGTCTTCAAACACTGGACTAGACTCTGTAGGAGTATAATGCGGACTCTTAGAAAGGCCCCCAGGAAGTGAAACTGAGTTAGAAAGCCAGAGTCCTGACTATTGTCTGATAAAAGACTTCTCACTCCAAAGGATTTACCTGTTGCTTCTCTCCCACTCTTGACTCCCCCACTCTTGAATTTGTGCCAGAGGATACCCTCCACTGTACTACAAGAGAGTGTCAAAAAGTTCATGGAAATTTCCACTATCTTTTAATTCTATTTTCCCATAAGCTTTTTGAAGCCTGTTCATATTACCCTGGAGTCCTGATGTGGCGCTGTAGGATAAGCACTAGACCATAAGGTCGGTTTGAACTGAATGGTAGGCAGTTCAAACCCACAAGCTGCTCCTTGGAAACCCTCTACATGGTAGATATGAGTTAGAATCTACGGGAAGTACTGAAGAACTCAACAACATAATACCCTATTCCCTTATTTGCTTATGTATATAATTATCTGGGTTAGACACAGGATGGGGAAGTTTTGGTAGGGGATGACAATAAAGTTAGGGCAAAGTACCTGAGGAGAAGGGCAGGTCATGGAGAATAAAGAGTGATAGAGCCGCCTGGAGACTCCTGGGTAAGGGTAAGGGGAGTGAGAGAAAGGGACTAGGGAGAAGACTCCTTTCTGTGAGATAGAATCACCTCATTCCTCACATAAAATGCACATGTGTATATAACATGCATAAGAAACTAACCATGCAACAGCACAGTATGATGCACACCTTATTTGCAAATAGTAGTTCCCAAAATAATTTTCTCCTATTCACAATGTTTCCTTGAATAGGACTTTATAGACACATTTTAACCAATGTGATAACATTCCATTTTATTGATTTTTCTGCAATATACAAAGTGTATATATACTCTCAGCAGACAACTACAGAATTCACACTCTGAATGAAATTAATCAAGAGAATACTTTTCAAATAAGGACAAATGACCTCAGAGCAGAGTTAACTAAACTAGCACTTATGAGTGCATTTTGCCAGTCAAAGCTTCTGGCAACAGGAAAACAGACTATCACCGCTTTAAGAGAAGCCACAAAGAACCATGTGGGAAAACTACACTGGGAAATGGTGACTATGGGCAAGAGACCTATTTTAGGATGAAATTCTAAAAGAAAGGTTACATGTACTCTAAAGCTGTCCTGCCTCTAAAGAAAAACAATGACTTCTCTGCTCACATAAATCCCATCTTACTATAACCACTTCCTCTAAGTATAAATTATCTTAATTCCAAGCAGATACAAGTCTGTTTCCTGAACAATGTTTAGATGAACTCCATTATCAGGATCACCCTAAGCAAAACCTAAGTCCATGAGCTTGCATATTGTCATTGCTTGTGGCCATGCTGAGTGGTCTGTGTTCACACAGGGTTCCCCCACCAAGTCCTTCTGTCAGGAAGCCAGGCATTTTCACAACTTGACCACACAAAAGAACACCCAGGCTGCACCTGCTTTTCCCAAGGCAGTACAGTAATGCCATTATCCCGCACCCTTTCATAAGATTGTATGTATACAAACACAGGTGTCTACATAGCAATCTTTGTGAACTTTGCCTTGAATGCTCCAAAGAACAGCGGCCATCTCCACTCCCCATTCATTGTCTCAATCAGGAAGGGTATCCCTGAGACACCACAAAGGAGGAAAAAGCCAACACACACATATATTACACACTTCAGCAGCATAAACTTGCACTGGTAAGAAAATATATTTTTTTATATCACAAGACACAGGAATTAAATATGCTTAATCAACCTTAATTAGGTTTCCTTCATTAGTTGACAATATAAGATTAAAACTACTAATGAAATACTCAAACCTTCATTTTACATGCAAGCGGTTTCCAGCAAATGATAAAGCAGTATTCCCGTGTATGAAAGATGGCACTGAATTCTGGCTCGATATAAAAGAGTCAGATTCCACGAGTCGCTGCTTGGTGTAATTGCCCGGCTTTCATCAACCTTTTTAATTGGGGGGGAGGGGAACTCACCCCCCCAAAAAAAAAAAAATTAATAGTGAACCGTGTAAACGTTTGAAATAGCACTAAATGAATCTCTAGACCACTTGGGTGTCCAGAGTTTAGAAAAATGACTCCCTTAAAAATATACCCCGGCGGTGGTATCATTTAAAATAATAAGATCATGATCAAACTGGACTGAAACCACCAAGCCTCTGCCTGCCTCCGCATGTAAGTTACCCAGCTGAACATAGTCAAGTTAAAGCCAGTTCTCTCCCCACATTTAGTGCGGGCCGGCAGCCTGAGAAAGCCACCCAGTTAGCAAGCTCCCCGTGGGTTCTAAGGGAGTAAAATTGGACTGGTAGATCAGGAGCTACAGCTGTCCCTCACCACCCTCTTCCAACGGAGGCACCAAGTTAGGAAGGCAACTCCACGAGCACAATGACGTGAAGAAACACAAAAGGTAAAGGCAGCCGCTCCCATCCTTACCTTTGACTTGACTTTCATACTCGGCGATGATCTCTTTGTCCTTTTTGAATCTGCTCGGAGTGGACATTATCCAGCTGTTTCGGGCTTGCTTTCAATGGGCAAGTTCTGTTCAGTGGTCACAAATGAGTCTCCTTACAGAGGGACAAGAGTTGTACTCCCACACGCCCGGAACCCGGCAGCAACAAGGGTAGGAGGTAAAGGACGACGAGGAGAAGAAGAAAAAAAGGAGCGAGCCGAAAACTAGATTAACCCGGGCGCTGGTACCATCTCCTCGGAACTGAGCCTCTGTCCGTGACCCGAGAGGCCGGGCGCGCATGCAAACTCCAGCGAGCGAGTAGCGGGGGGCGTCTCCCGGCCCACCCCACCCGGAGCCCGGCCACTTCCTCTACGACCGCTGGGCGGACGCGGGGCTCGCGCCGGCGCTGGGAACCATTGTTAGAGACCCGCTCCGGGAGCCCCAAGCAGAGCTGGCTGAGGAGGGCAGGCACCAAGGAACGCGTCCACCTCGGGTGTCGAGACCCTCCTTTCTTGCCTCCAGACGCCGGCTCCGGCGTTCACCGGTCCCGCCCGGGCTGGAGATGCTGCTTCCTCGGCCACCGCTCCTCCGTCTGTCAACACTGATGCTAAGAGCAGGAAGAGAAGCCGCAAATTCTAGCGCACGTCCTTGCTGCTGGCCGGGAGGGCTGCTGCAGCTACGTCCGAACGCGTCCTGGGCGCAGCCCCGGCGGAGTTCAGGTCTCCAGAGCCGGCGCCGCGAGGGCTTTCTGCCTCCTTCGCCACGGCGCGCCGAAGCTCCCTCTTTATCCTTGTCTCCTTTTCCGCTGCTGCCCCCAGGAGGCGGCCGGTTACTTGCACACTGGAGCACTCACCAGGGAGAGCCGCGCCCCCGGCGGCGGTAAAGTTGTCCGCGCACACACAACCCGCGACTCGCGGGCGCCCGGCGAGCAATCTGCGGGCAGCGACGGCCTCGGGAGTCGCCTAGGACTCACCAAGGTGGGGCAACGCAAGAAGGAGGAGACGCGCGCGCCGGCTCGTGCCCTTCCCCGCCCTCACCTCCGCCTCTACCTCGGCGAGGAATCGCCAGACTCGTCGGGAAAGATGGATGCCTCTGTGGCCAACCGCAACCAGGCCCCCGCGGCTGGGGTTCCTCTCGGAGCGCCGGCTCTGATATTATCTGGAAAACCCCCTCCTGACCTGAGGGCTGTCTTTGGCCAGAGGGTGGAGACTTTGGGTGGGGCTCTTTCCAGAATCCAGAAGGAAGTCCAGAGTTGGAGGTCTCAGTGACAGATAGCAATGAATGTGAGTCCAATGTGTTGGACGCAGTGGGAAAACCGAGGACAGAATTGTGAACAGCGTGGCTATTAAAAAATCAAAGGAGGGCAAAGTTCTTTAATCGTGGTGGAGAAAAGTGCCCATTCTTGAACGCTGTTTTTCCCCCACCCTAAACTACGGCGCTGTAGGATAAGTACTGAACTGAAAGGTCGGTTTGAAAAACAAAGTGATTCGAACTCACCAGTCGCTCCTCGGAAACCCTATAGAGGGTCGCCGAGTCGGAGCCAACCCCATAGCACTTAACAATAACAAACGATGAGCTGGAACAGACTCAATGGCACTTAACAACAAAGTAACTAGGGGAGCTGAGTCAGTTTTGACTCGCAGTCACCCTGTGCATAACAGAACAAAACACTGCGGTGCCCTGACCACCCTCAGAATTGTTATGTTTGAGCTTACTGTTATGTTGCCGCTGCTGTGTGAATTCATCTTGGTGGTGTGGTGGTCTTTTTCCATTGACCCTCCACTTTATCAAGCACGATGGTGGAAAAGGTACGATGTGGGAACAAGTCATACTTGGGATATGTGATGGACACTTTTACACAAGGATCCTTTTCTGGCTCCTTTCAAAGTCACTTCTCAAATATTGTGGACCTTATTTACTAATGTGATGTGCTCAAAGACTTTCTGATTCCAAAATCTAGAGAATAGGGAACTTCAGATTTTGATGACATACTACTTACCCAGTAATAAACTTTTCAGGTTCTTACAAGAAACTAAGGATTCAGAGATTGTTGTTGTTATGTGCCGTGGAGTCGGTTCCGAGTCATAGCAATCCTCTACAGGCTTTCCGAGGCTGTAAATCTTCACGGGAGCAGAAAACCTCATCTTTCTCCCAGGGAACAGGCTGGTAGTCTTGAACTGCTGACGGTGAGATCAGCAGCCGGATTCGTAACCACTACACTACCAGAGCTACCAGGACTCAGAGATTGTTGTTGTTGTTAGGTGCCATTGAGTCGATTCCGACCCATAGTGACCCTGTATAGGGTTTCAAAGGAGCAGCTGGTGAGCTTGAACCGCCGACCTTGCAGTTCAAACGGCTTTGCAGTCTGGCACATTAACCCACAGCGCCACACCAAGACTCCAAGGATTCAAAGATTAGGACCCTGAAATTTTACAGTCTAAAAAAAAAAATAATTGTCATCTAGTGAAGTCCTACTCTGTCCCATAGGGTTTTCAAGACAGTAAACCTTATGAAAACAGACTAAGGCATTGTTCTGCCCTAGAGCTGCTGGTGAGTCTGAACAGCCCACCTTTGGTTCATAGCTGATCCTTTAATCATTGAACCACCAGAGCTCCTTTTCACAGTCTGTTGTTATATAAATAAATTCAAGCAGCACAGTAAAGCTATAAGAGGACTATCCCTGGCTTTGGGACTCCTGTTTTTGTTGTTATGTGCTGTGGAGTCGATTCCGATTCCGACTCATAGCGACCCTGAACAGGGTTTCCGAGGCTGTAAATCTCTACGGGAGCAGAAAACCTCATCTTTCTCTCGCGTAACAGCTGGTAGTCTCGAACTGCTGACCTGTGACTCCTGAGGAAGGAAAATTACCACATGAGAGATTTTTGGAGTAACGGTTTTCAGGAAGTGGTACTTTAATTGGATTTAAAGGATCGATAGGAGTTTGCCACTTTGGGGAGTGTACAAGTTGTATTCCAAGTAAAAAACAATTGTCCATTGAATAGACTAGATTCATAGTTACCTCATGTGTGTTGGGCTACAACTGGGCTCCATTGGGTTTTCAGTGGCTTTTTTTTTTTTTTTTTTTTAAATGAACTAGATTGCCATGCCTTTCTTGCAAGTTACTTCTGGGTAGACTTGAACCTCCAAACTCTCCCTTATTAGCAGAATGTTGGAGCATTTTATACCACCCAGGACTCCCATTTCAGGTAAAGGAAGAGGGGGAATTGCAAATAGAATTTCAAAATGTCCTCCAGTTGAATACCAAAGCCCACATCAAGTTGATTCAGAATCATGTTCTATGCCATCAAGTCAGTTTCAACTCATAGTGACCCTATATACAGCAGAGCATGGAACACTGCCCAGTCCTGTGTCATCCTAACAAAAGTGCCCACTGCTCAGCCACTGTGCTAATCCATCTCATTCAGAGTCTTCCTCTTTTTCTGAACTGCTTTACTAAGCCTGATGTCCTTCTCCAGGGACTTGTTCCTCCTCATGACATGTTCAAAGTATATGAAAGTCTTCCCATTGTCACTTTTAAGGAGCATTCTGGATATATTTCTTCCAAGACATTTATATTTTGGTAGTTCACAGTATATTTAATATTCTTCGCCAATACCATAATTCAAAGACATCCACTTTCTTTGGTCTCCTTTATTCATTGGCCAGCTTTCATATGCATATGGGTTAACTGAAAATACCATGGCTTGAGTCAAGTCCACCTTAGTCCTCAAAGTGATATCTTTGCTTCGAACACTTTGAAAAATAGTCTCTTGCAGCAGATATCCCAAATACAATTCATCCATTGATTTTCTTCCTGCTGCTTCCATGGGTGTTCATTGTGGATCTAAGTAAAATGAAATCTTTCTCCCCTTATCATGATGTTCTTTACTGGCCCAGTTGTGAGAATTTTTATTTTCTTTATGTTAAGGTGTAATTTATATACTGGAAGCTGTATTCTTTGATCTTCATCGGCCAAGTACTTCAAGTTTTCTTCACTTTAAGCAAGGAAGGTCGTGTCATCTACATATCACAGGTTGTTAATTAAGTATTCCTTCAATCCTGATGTCCTGTTAATAGTCTTATAATTCAATTCTCAGATTCACAGCAACTCTATAGCACAGAGTAGAAGTAACTACCCAGTAGGGTTTCCAAGGCTATAAATCCTTTAGGAAACTGCCTTGCTACATCGTTCTCCCAACAAAGAGGCTAGTAGTTTTGAACAGGTAATCTTCAAGTGAGGCAAGAGCTTAACCATTGTACCAAAAGGGAACTACTTCATAGGGTTTCCAAGGCTGTAAATCTTTTTTTTTTATTTTTTTTTTTTACTTTTTTATTTGAATTGAGTAAAGGTTTACAAAGAAGATCATCTGTTTTACATATAACCAACCACACACTTTGTTTTATCTCAATGATTACAATCCCCTCCACACAACAACAGTTAATCCCACTGCCTCCCTGAGGTTCCTGTTTCCATTCTACCCTGCTTCCCATCCTTTCTAAACTTTTTCCATAGGTAAACGTTGCCCTTTTGATTTTAAATGATTGACCATTCCATGGTGAGCATACCTTACTAGTGTTGTCCCCCGTATATACCTATTTATTACTTAGCTGAAAATGGGCCACGAAGGTGAATTCCATTCCAGACCTGAAGAGTGGTGCCCTAGTCTTGGGATCCTCCCATCTCTTTCTGACCAGTAAGCCTGATCTTTTATTATGATTATTTTAAGTTTTGTTCCACATTTTCTCCCTTTCTAACCAGGACCTTCTAATGTGATCCCTTTTCAGAGCAGTTGGTAGTGGTAGCCAGGCACCAATTAGCTCTTCTAGTCTAGAAGTGGTGATGACTTAGGTTAACATGTTCCATTAGTCCACTGGACTACTTGATTCCAACCATCTTCCATTCTCATCATTCTTCTTTCTTCCGCACGTGGAGAGACCAATAGTTGCATCTTAGATGGCCTCTCATGAGCTTTTAAGATTCCAGAGGCTACTCACTCAAGTAGGATGTAGAACATTGTCTTTGTGGACTATGTTGTGCCAATTGACCATGGCATTTGTGGGTATACTCCTACTCTTCCTCCCATACCCTTCAGCCTGTGTATCTGT